CTCATGTTGACAAAAAACACGAAATAGTGTAGATAGCATTGTGGTTAAAAATATAAACAAAGTTCTATTTGTATAACAAAGGCTTTTAAAATTAATACAAGGCCCCTTATGAGTAGTTTTTACTAAAACCAAATAGTCTACAACATAATATAAAAAAAAATTTTTTTATAGTCATTTTAATTTTCAAATTTCAATAAAATTGGATATTTAATCGAGGAATTACGTTTTTAGTAATTTTGTTGTAATTCAATAATATTATACATAGGGTTTCAAAACATTTACATATTAAGTATTATAATTAACATTGTTTGATGATTTCTCGGATATTTGTCTACTGTGGAGAATGGTTACACAAAGCAAAATATTTTCATCGTGTTTAGATTTTCGATAAAAGTAAGTTCCAAGGATACATCGGTGTGCACCGCTTTTGAAAATATTTATATTTGTCGGACTTTCATGTTATCTAATATCTGAACTTAGTGGCGTTTTAAATTGTTGAAATGTATTGTGTGCACAATTATAGCAATGGCATTTTTTAGGAATTAAAATTGTTGATATCATTATGCAATAAATTCTTTTAAATTTAAAATGTCTGCAAACAATACGCTGCATGCAGAAATAGTTTACATTCGATAAAGAGTCAATGACTAGTAGGCACCTATAGTTTATAGTTATATACCTTTTTTTATATTTATACTGCCCTCAAGGTTGGTATATTTAGTATGAATTTCTGTTGAAATGTATCTACTGTATACATGATTGTGACATAGTTTATAATTTATTATAGCAATGGAATTTTTTTAGGGATTAAAATTGTTGGTAATTAATTGTTCTTGTTTGCTTAATTAATCGACTTTACAGTTTTTTTTTTTAATTCAAAATGTCTATAAATAATACGTAGGTAACATGCGTAAATATTTCGTATTCGATAAAAAGTCAATTGCGAGTACCTACTCTAGCGATACTTGTACTTTCCTCACGTTCCGTAGTTTGAAAGGGATGAGGTACGTTTGCTACGTGAACAGCTAACTGATTCGGATTCAACGAGACGTTCGAAATGTCACATCGGATTTCGATTCGGTTGAATGTGAAATACGATAAATTTAACGTATTCTTACGACTCTGGCTCACATTTTTAATAATATGACGTACTATTTATTGTTATTCCGGTCGTTGTTCATTTAATTTACCACCAGTAGTACCTACATTCTTATCAAGAACCATCGACATGTTATCTATCTCGGTCCATACGAAATTGCAGGTTACGGTCCGTTTTTGAATATTTTCCTCGATAACTAATCGATTTTCGTCGTTAAAAGCCCTTTTGAATCAACAAACGACTTCAGCAAATAATACAATTCGTACAGGTTATACCTACTCCGATTAAAAAAGAAAAAGTAGAGAGAAATTGTATGAAATTGTAGAAATAAGTTTGCAGTAAAAAAAAGAAAATGTACTAGCAAAATATTTATGAAATATAGGTTTTAAATAAATGCAGGTACCTATGAATGATCTCCGCTTTGGGCTTTTGCCTGTCTGACGCCATCCGCGGGAGCGGGGAAATTAAAAACCGACTTTTCGGACCGTCCGCTGAGCTGTCGGTATAATAGTTGAAGTTGTAACTGCACGCGATACAATAATTTATAGTATATTATAATCGGTATATAGCTACGTACATATTATTATGTGCGGCAGTGGTGGACGGCAACGGGCGCAACGGGCGTAAAAAACCCGAATCCCCGAGACACAACCCTTCCCGCGGTCTCGCCGCCACTAGAACCCTACACCGCGAGCACCAGATATATACACCCCTCCTCCCCTCCTCACACACACACACACACACACACACACACACACACACACACACACACATTAATAATAATACACTATACACTAGGCCAATTATTAACGCCCGGCGACGATATTAACATGCAAAACCCAACGCTATCCGGTTTATCTGTTAATTGGCCCGGAAATTTACGACTATGTGTACCACTCGGGCTCGTAATCTTTTCTCGTCCCACCCGTCCGGTCCAGAAAAAGTCGTGGAAATCCACCGTCTACCCCTACCGCAGTGACGTGCAGTCGCGCTCGTGCCGAGTTGATGCACGTGGACGCGGGGGTGGAGAATTCAATTAAATTCCGTACGGAAAGACAACCAATGGGCCGGATTATACGACTGTTTATCCGGGGGGGGGGGACCCCCGCCGCCGCCGCCGTTCGTGACACCCTCACCCAGTTCCGTATGATATAATATATTTTTATTGTAACGGTATAATATAGTTGTAGTCGGCCACGTGCGATTTGCACACGACGGCGGCGATGGCTAGGTTTTCTGGGAACGAAGTGGTTTTCGACGTTCGTGTGGTTAGCGGTTACACACCTTCCGTGACCGTCAACCCGTTATAACATTACCATATACATTTAGAAGGCATGTATATTGTTTACCTACTGTTTTGAAGGTTTGGATCTCGACTTGTTAGACGGTGATAAACTTTTGAGTCCCTACGCTCTGAAGTCGAGAACTCGACGATGGACAGATAAAACGTTGTCGGCATAAACTTTCGAGATTCTAAAAAGTTCTTTGGTGTGTTGTTACACGATGATCGTGGTTTTTCTTCGAAAAATAATTGTCTGTTAGGCTTTCTAAAATATTAGTAAAGACTGCACATAGTGCACGTTATATGATATTACAATTATGCGTTGTAGAAAGACGCAAATTCAATAGATGGAATAGTATCGATGAAAAGAGATACATGTCAGCGTTACGTCATATCAATAAGTGGTGCAAAACGATTAGAGATTACTAAGAATGTAAGCACTGTCGAGATTTGAGAGCATAGCTATTTTTTGGTTAAAACGAAACTGCATTTGTGATTATATTAAATCGCATTTGTTGTATACCTAATCGGAGTAAATCGTTTATTATGCTGAACCATCAGTTAAAAAGTTTAAAAATTGAAACAATGGATTCCACATAAGTATTTCTTACTGCAGTGCAATTTTACAACATTTTAAAATAAAGTTAAGAAATATTCTGTAATAAAAATATACAAGAAGTATGATATCAAAGGCTTAACAATTTAATGCAAGGTTAGCCGTACTTTAATTTTTGTATAAAACTGAAAATACGTAATATTATACATATCATTTTTTATAGAAATTCTAACGTTTTAAAATGATGATGAAATTGAATATTAAAACGAAAACTAATCATAGTTGTAACTATTATTTGGAGGGCCAGACACTTTTACTTAAACGTATTTACCTACATAGGGTAAAATTCAATTTTCCAAATATTTAAATTTATTTTAACTCTTAAGCTGTTTATAACATGAACCTATTTATATTGTTGCAGTTGGTAATATTATAACTATTATAGTACATAAAATATTAAGTGATTGTTTTTTGGTGAAAATTAGTTCGACTCACGTCCTACAGTATTACTAATAGAAATCGAAAGAGAAAAAAAAATTATCATTAGAATTCTTTACTGGAAGAACGTCTCTCCTCAGAATGTTTTTTAATGTGCAATACTGCAATGATTTATCTTTAAATTCAAATTAAATACATTGGTACAACACAGCGGCCCACTGCATGACAAAATACATACGACCCACCATACAGTAAAGTGAGTGCCCACGATTTTAATTTAAGTATTATTTTGAACTGTTAAATTACGGTTACTGGTAATAACATTATACAATTCAGATATTATCCAGATGATGTGTACTGTACAGTGTACATATTATGGAAAACAATTTTAATAATTATGATAAATCACTTTCGATGTTTAATAAATATTATTATATTAGTGACACACGTGTTTGTCTCTGAAATAAGATATTATGTTTGATAATATCGCTTAAATTCGGAGTATAATTTATGTTAATTTCGCTTGAAAAAGCTATAGTCAGAAACTGTACCCACCTTGTTTGAAGTTACCAACTTAAAACACCCAATCTGTAGTTCACAAGGCTTTGATGTACATAAGTCATTATAAGGATGTATCCAATTATTATTTTTATTGTTCTTTTATACCAGATTTTGCTATTAGTTTAGAATTTTTACCGTAACAAAATGTTATAGTTATTGAAGGTTATACAACAAAATATAATCGATTCTCGGGACACTTCATTTATGCGACGCGAACACACTACCTAGCAAATATAATCTTAAACGTAATTATCTACGTTATTATAATGCTCTTTGTCAACTTATTTGATTATCATTGAGTATAAAATTTCAGGCATCTCCCCAGGCAAATCTGTTATTAATACATTATACATTTTAAGGTGAATTTAAATGAACTAATTATAAATCCGTATAATTTTGTCGTTGTACATTTTATTCATAACAATGTCAACAAGCATAAAATCTTAAAAAGTTTTAATGTAGAATATTCATTTTGAATAATGCCTATAGTTTTGTTTTTCACAATTTTTTTTAGATTGTAGGTAGACCGTAAACAGGTAGTTCATTTTTATGACATTTAATTGACAGTACTCACAAAATAATAAAATTAAAATGTGGGTGTCGTTCTATGATGCCAAGACAATGACGTCACACCTCCTTAATGTCTAATGGCATGCAATAAAATTATATTTATTTATTTTAAATATTTGTGTGGATAAATATAACTATTTGATCCACGAACCTTTTGAAATGTATGCAAAAGGCCACACACGCGTAGTGCCTTATTTGATTAGGTTAGTTTTTCACGTTCCTGTAACAATTTACCGTCATATGGCTTTATATCTGAAACATTTTAAATCAATCTCACCCGAGGTTGGTGTGGAACTACAGAATCGTGTAGGGATCAGACGTTTTCTCTCGATGGACGGACAATGATAATATTAGAATACCTAAAAGAAAATAATACACGTTTCGGCGTCCGTCCAGGCGACGACGATCAAATTCGAACATCCGAAACTAAACGAAAATATAATATTATCTCGCACATTGGCTGACGACATGACTGTATTATTTTATGTTTGCAGCTTTGACGTAAGAGGCATGCCGTTGGATCAAGCACACCATTATTCAGCGCCGGATGTGTTCGGCAACCGTGCATCCTTCCGGACAGTTACAGATCCGGCATGTCTATTGGTGGATGAAGTGCACCGGAACGACGAGGGCGTGTACCGATGTCGTGTGGATTTCCGAAATTCCGCCACCAAGAGTTTCCGGTACAACTTGTCCGTTATCGGTAAGTGATCTTCTACTCCGATATTATGGGGGAATTCGTGTAAGAGTACCTATATACAGTGTACACAACGGTATTTTTCCGTCACTCTACAATCATCTATAGGTATGACGTAGGAACCTGGAATGACGATTGTCTGATAAATATACAAATATTTTTTCTTACACTGTTTGTATTGTTTCTATATTAATTTTAATTTACCTGGAATTGTATGCTACTCTACATATTATACGAGATGAGTTATTTACATCATGTACCGATGTGTATGAGTTATATTATACCTATTAAGCCGGACGTGTCGGGCTTATGTTTTATTATTATTATTTATTATTATAGGTTAGGTATTTTGAGTTATTAGGTACGATAATAATCATGAATAAGAATTACCTGCGATAGTCCGATAAACATTTATTATTATTTTATTCCAAAAATCTGAATATGGAACCGAGCCAATATAGAAAAAAAATATGAAAACTAAGAAGGAGATAATATCACAACAACACAATCAATTATAATAATTGTTATGAATGCCTAAGTACCTATTAATATATTCAAGTATGATAATACAATGTAGCGTATTATAATGTATCAAACTTACACAGAACAACAATAATTTATCGTTTTCAATAAGAAATTAAATTGATAGGTAACGCATTATGTTCTTCTATAGGCTACCCACAACAATGGTATTGACTTCATGTAAGTAGGTAACAATTTATAAGACAATCAAAAGTCAAATGCACGCAGTAGTTACCTCCAACTATAAAGTTCAAGAGACAGATATATATTATTCCTTACTAATATAGTAATATCCGTATTGTGCAGCGTTTTCGCGTGTTGACAATCATAAATAGATACCTAGTTATAACGACGAGCCAATAACTCAAATACGATATTATATAGAATTGGCCAAAAATGTAAATATTGTAAGAACTTATTTTGTCCTTTATGAACCGGGTGGTAGTTTCAAAGTATATTGATTGTGCCCGGTGAACGTTTAGCAATAAAAAATTTAACGCATTTGAAAAATATAATACAGGTATGATAAACAATATATATTATATTCGTAATATAACGAAATTCATTGACAGATAAAATTAACCAGCTATGTAAGTACCTAGGTAATAAGTTATTACTTACAACTTTTACTCTTACCATTTTTTTTTTTAAGGAGTGGTTTTTTTTCGATTTAGATGTTATTTATTATTGATCTAAAGCCCGGCGATTATCAATAGCCACTTGCTGATTAGATGTTATTTATATAGTATTTAATGTTGATTAGATCAAAAGGTAATTATATATTTATTTACCTATAATTGACTACATCACTTCAGTTATTTCTGTTATAATCTGTATTGAAACAATTTTTTTTTTTTTAATTTATTCTTCAAAAAGATAATGTGCCCCATTGAACATGTCCGTGTGGGGACTGGGGACCCATGCTTCCATAATTTGAATTAAAATTTCATTAAATGGTTAGTATAAATTAAATAATTACAATTTACAACACACATTTTTCACATAACTAAAATATAAAAATAAATAAATACATATTTTTTTCCTTGTTTGTATAATTAAACATTATGTAAAACATTGTGTAATCAGATACTACATTATAATTGATATGGTTATTATTTGGCAATAAAAATAAAATTATCTATAATTCCTAAAATATTTATTTTTATAGTAGCCAAGTGTTATTTAATTTTTTTTTTAAGAATATCAAAAGAGTAGCTATGTTTAATTTAAATATTATTATGTTATAAACTTCATGGTACGAAAGCTTCGAGCTTGCTAAATGTCCGTTTTCTAAACGTATTTTAGTACAACGCAATAAACTATAATTTAATAATAAACAATTTTAAAAGAATTTGGTAACCTTAATGTTTTAGTAACTTTTTATTATTTTTAAATAATGGCTAGTATGAATCAGTATTAAATAATGCTCATATTTTGATATTTTTAATACATTCTGTATGAACTTACTTTGAATAGAACGGTTATAAATGTATTAATTCATTCAACTAAAGTATTTGAGGTAAATGTAGTGGTAACTAACGGACGTTCACAGCAGAGATATTTGGTGTTCTTAACTTATATTTAGAAATCCAGTATACAACACTGAAAAAAATATTTTTAAAAAGTAAATAGTTTTTGTTGAATATTATGAACGTACATGAGTAATTTTAAACAAAAGTAACAAAACATAAAGTGGTAAAGGTAATTAATTGAAAACGAATTATGCGTTTATGACAACAATAATTACATCAGCCTGGTGATCCACAGAAATTAAAAAAATCACATCTCTTTTTGTGTTGTTGTTAATGTACAAATAACTTATTATCGATTGGTTTTAAATTAACACGGTAAACGTGGCATTAAAGCCTAAAATGAATCATTATTGGTGTGGTTTAAGCTTTCAGATAAACAATAAGCTTTCACGTGTAATTATTGGCAGAAACCCAATTTAACGTTTTATTTTTATTTTTAAATTGCATAACCAAACGAAATTAATTCAATCCATAGTGGAAAATTGCAATAAACTTTTATTTAAAATTAGTTTACACAAGCAGACAAATATTTAATTAAAAAGATTAAACCAAACGAAGAACATTTATAATATGTACAACTCAATTAAAAAAAATGTTTAATAGTTTGTTGAATTTCTTTATTTTTATCGAGTTAAACAATTATTCCAGATGTTAGTCATTCAATAAACGTAAGTGTATATTTTTTCAGCTTTTATAATATAATGACCACCATACTAAAGTTTTCAATAGCATCATACGTTTTTTTGTTTTTTTTTAAATTTAAGTTATTTCAATCACAATAATTTAAAATATAGTCAAATAGTGACACTTTATAGTATACTTAAAAAATTTAAATAATTAATTACCTAATAGAAAAACGAGAATGAGCATTATGTCCGAATAGTTGAATAATGTGAGTATACATAATATAACATTAATTGTGCCAAATAAAAAATTATTCCATCACAATGCAAATATCATATAAGCCATCAACGAAAATCAATTGCTTAAATGTTAAAATGGGTGCATTATTACTACTTAAAATTATTGATATTTGTGAACAAAAACAGTTAACTGGATATCCATTTTGGCATAAAATGTTTGTAAGTCATAAATAACGATCAATCCGCTTCTAGATTAAAAAAAATTAAATGCGTTTTTTAAAAATATACTTAGTGTCTACTAAAAGTTCAATAGATTTTAGTTTTTGGATTAATAAGGTAAATGCATATTTTTAGAAGATGTATCACGTAATAAAATAAGAGAAAAAATGATCAAACTAATATACATATTCAATGCATTGGATTGAATTTAAAATCAATTATATCCTTCTTGGCCTTATAGCATTGCGAGATTTTTGACCACCGTCGTCACAGTTCTTAAAACATTTTAGTTCTGGATTTTCACACTCTACGAAGTTTGCAGTATACTAATTTAAATAATAATAACTCTGTACTGACACAATTATTAAATTATTCAAGCAGAAATATCACAATGACTTTTTTTTATTTGTTAGCATTACTACGGGGAGATTGCGGTTCATCTATAGTCTTACCTCATACTAAATAAGTTTCGCAGTATGTACTCTCATTTGGTATGTACTTGTGCTTACATTGAAATCTTAACTGTTGTATATTATTACTATACACAATGTGACGAAGGTATATAATATTATTATTGTGACCTCAAACAGAGTAATATAAGCATGGAAAATGACAATGAGTAATAATAACGTATTATGTACAGAGCCCACTTATTGTTCCCGAAAGGGTCATACTGAAAAAGGTCCACTACCTTTCTGTTGATGTTATTTTTCAATATCTAATGAATATGCACACTTCATGTTTAACTTTGAAAGCATTCATCAAAATGAATAAAGAGAAACAACAAAAGAGCTACTTATAATAAGTAATATTTACTTTCAGAAGTTATTAATAGATTCGTTTATGATTCTGTGTCTTAACTCTTTATAAAAATTAACACTCGTTCATTGACAATATTACTGATGTAAAGTAGCTGGTGCGATATTTATGTTAATTAGTACAATTCATTCACGGAAATAATTGTAAAACTTTGGTTACATGGTTTAAGTACAAATAGTATTTAAAAATGGATACCATTCCACAATGTATTGTATAGTAGGTAGGTAGCCGTAGTAACATTTGAATCCTTAAATATTTAAACATAACATTATAAAAAAAATATTTTACTGTTCTTAATATTTACTTACACTGTGAAAGTGTTATTCATAAGTTCGGTCATAAAGTTTATTTTAATTTTTAAAATAGAATTATGTTATTTCATTATAAATATACTTGTGTTATACTTCGATCAAATTGATCGTTGTTTGTGTAATTTAAAAATAAAATATGGTGCTCAGTGTATCGTAATTTAAAATATTTCTATACTTTTCAATTAATTTCCAGTTTTGTCAGTTTATTATGATAACTGATAACTATCTCCGTACTTAAAATAAATTATATACTATTTTAATAAACATTTATACATTTTATTTTGGCCATTCTTAGCAAACCCTATTGATTACTTTATAAATACTTCCATCGATTAGATACTTTTGACATATTTATTATACTCCTTATTTATTCGTTTAGTGAAATCGATTTTTTTTACTAAAATAAATATTTGAAATAGTATAGAAAAAACAATAAATATATAAATAAAACTGTTTGAAATATATAAAATGTATTACTATCGTGTAAAATAATGTGATGAATTTACTATGATTTAAAATATTAGAGTACTTACCCAAATAATTTGATTTGGCCTTCTCACATCCAATTTAACTAATTAATTTAATAAATTAAGTCATGAATCATGTATTTTTTTTTTTTTGTAATGGAACCAGTAAAAACATTACTTTTATTGTGAATTTTAAAAAATAATTAAATATTGGTAGGATAAATATTACCTACTATACACATAATAGTATTTCATGTATAGGAAGTCCAATCC